TCGCCAACTTCCACATCTCTGGCATCGCCATCCATCTGACATCGCCATCCCACACCACACACACAGACACAACTACACACACAAACACAAACAAACAAACAAACAACCAACCAACCAAGCAAGCAAGCAAACAAACAAACAAACCAACAAACAAACTCACACACACAAAAACAAACAAACGAACCATGCCACTCACTGATGCTGAGCATGTTGTTCCGCGCACGTGGCCTTGGGAAGCATCTCAGAAGTCAAAGCTCAAAAGCGAAAAAAACAAGTCACTGACCGCTGATGGGTCACTTTATTTCTTGCCAAATTTCAGCGGTGTTTCGTGTGTTGCGAGCACTGCGGAAGCAACAATCAGAACCAGAAGCGGCCAATAATGCGGGTGCCTTGACACGTGCAGCAAAGGGGCCTCAGCTGCGGTGGCCTGCTAAGCGTGCCAAAAGTTCTGGCAATCAGGCTGGTGGGGCGTTGGGGAACGGCAGGGCAGGCCCAGGGCAAGGCGGCAAGGCGCCGGGAGAGCAAGCCCGTACAGTGACAGCGGGCAACTCGGTTTTCCTCCCGTTCGGCCCGCGAGAAACTGTTCCAATCCAAGCCGGGCTGCGCAAAAAAAAACAACCCACTGACCGTCAGTAAGTTGTTTTTTTTCGCGCTGCTGGCGCAGCCAGGCTGCAACAGGGTGCTCGGGCAATCCTGCGGGAGCAGGGGGAGTTGGTGAGACAGGTCAGGTTGACGCTCGGACATGTAGCTATTCCAAGAGTCCAGGCAAAGTTTGCGAAATCCCCTTGCTGCCGCTTTGGAACGGGATCCCGTGGCGGTGCTGTTGGCGACGCTGTCTGCGCCAAAGCCGTCACACCGCTCGTGGGCCGTTTTTTTGCGCGGTGTTTTGTGTGTTGCGAGCACTGCGGAAGCAAAAATCAGAACCAGAAGCGGCCAATAATGCGGGTTTGTTGCCTTGACGCGTGCAGCAAAGGGCCCTCAGCTGCAGTGGCCTGCTAAGCGTGCCAAAAGTTCTGGGCCCAGGGCAAGGGGAGAGCAAGCCCTTACAGTGAACAGCGGGCAACTCGGTTTTCCTCCCGTTCGGCCCGCGAGAAACTGTTCCAATCCAACCCGGGCCGCGCAAAAAAACAACAACCCACTGACCGTCAGTAAGTTGTTTTTTTCTCGCGCTGCTGGCGCGGCCAGGCTGCAACAGGGTGCTCGGGCAATCCTGCGCGGGCAGGGGGAGCTGGAGAGATAGATTGATGCTCGGGCTGGCAGCTAGTCCGGCAGCGCACGCAAAGATTGCGGGCTCAATTCCGCTTGCTGCCGCTTTGGAACGGGATCCCGTGGTGGTGCTGTTGTCTGCGCCAAAGCCGAGCAGCCCAAAAAAACAAGATCACTGACCGCTCGTTTGCTTGCCAAATTTTAGCAGTGTTTCGTGTGTTGCGAGCACTGCGGAAGCAAAAATCAGAAACAGAAGCGGCCAATAATGCGGGTTTGTTGCTTTGACGCTTGCTGCCCCTGCAAACCTGGAGACGGTTCGGTTTCTGTTCGGTTCGGTTCGGTTCGGTTTGTGGTTTGTTTCCGGTTTTCTTGCGGTTTTGAACACCGGTTCGGTTAACCGGTTTCCGGTACGGTTTTCAGCCTTCCTGTAAGAAATCGAGCCCATCACTAGCCTTGGGGGGCGCTTACTTGCGCTCACGAGGAGATGGGCGCAAGTATCGCGCACGAGGTGAAGGCAGGAGCTTGCGGCAAAAGGGTCCCTGAGCCGCTTGGGGTGGGGAGGGGGGGGGACTAAAAGATGTGTTTAGTTTGGGGGGAAGCTTTGGTTGGTTCCAAGACCTTGGATGGATTTGGTTGGTTTTAAAGGGCAACTAACATGAAGCCGCCAATTTGGGGAGACAGACGCAAATGGCGACAAAAAGGGCCTAGTTGCCGCGATGGAAGGGCGAACGGGCGATGGTTACAATCCAGGGGGACTTAACACCTTGGGAAAGCAGGCTTGCAACCGCAACAAAACGCGTACATAACCTACCCTGCCTCCTGTGGAGAATTTTTTCATACTTGGAGGTGAGAGACCAATCAGTACAGGCTATGAATGTCTGAAGAAACGTAGCTGGTGGACATGAAATCGAATAACACCAGTGCCATCTATTCGGCCAAAGGGACATCAGCAGAGTTGTCCTGCTCACCAGGCCTCTCCATGGCTGGCCTTCATGGTCACTGTGGACACCACTTGATAGCAATTCGCTGGGTTCCGTCCAAAGCGAATCGACCGGATCTGACCTTTTGGTTTTCCCATTTTGTTTGCCAGTTTAGTGCTCTCAAAAGGTCATCACCTTGTATTTTCAGGTCCCTTGGGGTGAGGGAAACCGTTTGAGGAAATGGATATTGTCTCCCTCCGCGAGTTCCCTTGATTTTCAACTTTTTGGGAAGACCATTTTGGTGGTAAACAACAAGTTCAGACTATTTCTGGAATTGGACCATTTGAGTGTAAAACAAAACGGATCGGACTTCTGGCCAGCCAATCCACTCAAGAAGTGAGGTCATCGGACAAAACTGGAGGATCAACTAGTTAGCCCCGAAGCTAAGACGCAGGAAGTACTTCCCCCCGCGCCTGGGATTTAGGATTTCACACACCTCGACTCGTTTTTCGACACCGCGAGGGGAGCGAGTCGCTCAACATGGCGACCTGGCGCCTTGGGAGAAAAAACCATTTTTCGGGGCGAACCATTCCACTCATTCCCAGTCCCGCAGTTGCGGTGTGTCTGTTTGCTGGAAAGGTGGGGGTACCCCCACAGTTTTATTGCGGGTTTCAAGGGAAGCCAAAAGGAGCACCACCAATTTTTAGGGACCCATTTGGTTTCTTGCGGGTTGAACACCAGCAATTTTAGGGGGACCCCTAAAACAAGGCACACCCGCTTGTTTTCTCCTCTGGCTTGCTGGGTTCCCCGAGCGGGTCAATGGGGTCAAACCCAATCCCAAAGAGGCTTGCCCAGAGAGGGTGGCCCCCCAAAGCGGGTCCAGTGGATTTCAGCCTTTGTCCCCCTTGTTTCCCCCTTTTTTGGCTTTATGATGTTTTATGTTTTAAAGGGAGTCTATCCCTACTGGAAATATCTTTACTTCAACATGAAGCAATGATCTGAGGGTCCCACGATATATCGGCAGCCGTGTGGCTGTGGGTCAAAACCAATGGTACCATTTTGGGGTAGGTGCACCACCCATTTTGTATTTTAGTGGGGATTGGGATATTCACTGGGGGCTAACCGCTTTGGATTTTCACCCATGGCCATGTGTTTTTACCGCCCATGACTCGCGAGTGATAGCAACCTGCCTGACCTGACAGCGGAGTTGAATGGATGTGGCTGTGCATCCCTTCCGATCGCATGGGCCGCGTTTGAGTAAGGGACCACACATGACATGGCAAGGGTTTTCGTGTTTTCCGTTCGAGGGCCCTTGCCCACTTCCATGATTGGTGAAACGCACCTGGAACCACCCTTGGCTATTTGAGCAATGTGGTTCTACTGCCCGGTTTTTCATAGGGGGAGTTATGGCCAATACAAACCAATAGAGTCATCAGAGCCAACTGTGCAGAACAGCCACGGTTTGGTGAGTGCTGCTCAGGTGATCGGGCATTCTGAAACCACCTGAACGAAATGAAGTACCACCAACAAGAACCCTCCTGCAGCTGCCCTGCGGTTTGGCCAAACAAGGGCAAATCGGCGAAGCTCCGGGTCTCTAAGAGGGTATGTATATGTGTCAAGATAGAAGGACCAAACAACTGATGGTTGTCCTGTTGGTTGCTCTTCAATCCGAGGGGAAAAGGTACCCTCAACCAAAAAAAAGCTTCACCTAAACAACTGGTGGTTGTCCATTTTGCCTTCTCTTCAATCCGAGGGAAAAGGTACCCTCGACCCTCAACCAAAAAAGATAGCCACTGCTGCGCTTTTTAAGGAGCTTCGGGGCATCCAGTGAGTGCTGCCTGTGCCCCAGACTTTGGAGTTAGGACGTAAGGTCGCCCCAGACGCCCAGTGGGTCCTGCGGGTGGTTCGATCTGGGTCCCTCAGAGGCCTTTGGCCATGGGAAAGCCAAACAGGGCACCCGTTTTGAAAATTATGTTGGCTTTTAGGAAACAAGATATAAAAACAAGGGGGGATAAACGAGCAACGTTTTGGGCGGTTTTCCCCAAGAAGGGGCACCAAGGACCTAAAGACGCAGCCACTCACTTCGGTTTTGTTTGTTCGGTTTCCTTTTTTAGTCATCCCAAAAGGTTCACCTTGTAGGTGGGCCCCTAAGGGCCAACTGAAGCTGAGGGCTGATTGAATTCGAGGGCTTTTGGAATTAGATAATGTTGCGATTGCTGGATACATCAGCTGCTGATTTAGAGGATGCGAATCCTTTTAAAGTGGTTTGTATGCATCCTTGGAGGAACCCATAGGGAAGTCCTTGCTTGGGACCCCGCCGAAGACAAACACCAACTTGGAAGATAGAATTGCACGGGGAATCAACCTCTAGTGTCAGCTAAACCTCAAGATGCCTTGTACTGACTGGCTCATCACATCTACCTTCTGTCAGGCTAGTTGAATGAAGATGAGCTTGGCTAGTGACCGGTTTGTTTGGCTTTAAAGTCATTCCTGAGTGTTAGTGGTTTCCCTTGTTGTTGTGGCGTCCCGCTACGGATTACCGGATTAGGATGAGGGATCCTCTCCAGTTCCAACAACCCAGATCAATCCCTAGGCTATGGTTTCTCAGGGTTTCCTTGTTGTAGTGGTCTCCCAGTTTGGACCATCCAGTCCATGGCCATGTTCTCGCAGAGCTTTGAGCTGCACGCTGCCACGGGCTCTTAGGACGGCTGTCTTGAGACCTCATCCTAAAGCGGGGGACATGTCAGTCATGGTTTTCATGAAACCTCGCAACTTCCCACACATGACTACCCATATGCAAGCAATCAATTCATGCCAACCGCAGTGTGGTAGACCTGCAAACACATACAAAACAGCACGACACCCGTCGTGGCTTCCCTTTTTCACGGTGTCGCGCATCAGGTTCCTCGTGCCGAATCGATCCGAGCGATGCAGCGCAAGACGATGGTGTCCCGGGGCATGGCAGTGCTGGGCAGCGGCGGTCAGTGCACCCGGGAGGCACATCTAAGAGCAACTCGGCGTCTTTGTTTCCAAGACGCGGAGGGCATGTTTTTGTGTGGTTTCAAGCACCATTTTGGGGGTACCCAGTGGATTGCTTCCTTTTGTCCTTTTCCTTTGCTCCAAGGTGGCCACTGGGGTCTGGGGAGTCCAGTGCGTTGTTTTCTCTGGGGGACCTTTTCTTCCAGACACGATCGAAGATCCCATGAGAGCATTGAGTCTTCCCTCGCTAACGAGGCACCTGACAGGGAGAGGAAATCGAGCTTCCAGGCACCCTAAGGTTTTTGTTTGGCGACGTTGCTGCCAACAGGGGAGTACTTGACCACAGCAAGCTCTTGATGGACATTGCCATCGACAGTGTTGCGAGAAAGTAAAACAGTATGACCAAACCAGGAGAGTAGAAAACTCTTTCGGTGTCCTTTGGTTTTTCGTTTGGGACCAATGTTGTGACCTTGTGCCGATCGGTTCTTTGGAGCAACCCCCAACTTGGCGCGGAATGCCCACGGCCGACTGCTCGACAAAAGGACAACACCGTCATCAGAGATGGTCTCGAATCAGGACGCTTTGCGTTGCCGCTTTGCTGGTCAATCGCGACTGCTCAAGAATGACATTTGTCGCACTTGCCACGTGTGCATCGGAAAACGGAACGAATGTGGGGAACATGGTGCGTGGCTCGCTTCCAACAGTGGTGAATGAATCGTCTCGCCTTTCCTGCAGCAACCAATTTCAATCTTTCACCCTCTGAATAGGAAGTTGGTCTTGCTGGTACCTTCCCAACAATATGGATTCGTCCTTTTTGCGAGAGTAGCCATTTTGGATGGTGCTAAAGGGAGCCTATTTTGGGGGTTCCGCATTTGAGACAAACCCATGAGAGTAGCTGCGCAACTACCTTCTGGCTCCAGGAATTTGGGAGAAGAGTACTCCATCGAAGAAGAGCGATCGAGCTGGGAGTCAAAGATACCACGTGGACGCCTGATTGCATCCCGCGCCGGTATAGGCCAACAGCTTTCGTCTCTATATTTTCCGAGCCTCCAAAGACACTCCAAAGATCCGATTTCTGAAGGGTTCGGGGTGGTGACTGATGTTCTTGTAACGTCCTTGGGGAGAGTGTAGGGAGGGCGGCATGTTGTCTTTGCATCGAGCATTTGGGAAGTCTCAAAATTGGTGACTTCTTTGTCAAGGGGGGGGTGCTGTTAGTTTTAGTTTTAACTGCAACCAAAGTATCTTTTTCGTTGCATCCCACAGAAGGGTACCCTCCAAAAACACACTTCCAAGTTGGCCTTTCGCAAGAGATCGATCAACGACCAAGATGTCAATTGGAGCAAACGCCTTGCTGGTGCGATAGGTAGGGATTGACCTTCCGAGTTTTGGGAATGAACCGGAAGGGGATTCCCTTGAAGACACCGAATCAGGGATGGCTTAGCTTTTCTTGGGGTCATTCCATGCCCCATTCTCTGCCTATCGACCCCAGTGAGCCTAATTTCAGCTCCGAGGACTTTAACACAGACGTGCCGCCGGAGACGGCTGAGCTTTGGGTGGGTACGCCCTACGCTGCATGGATCGTGCCTTGGAAGAGTTGGGTGTGCTGCTTTTCTGAGTGCACATTTTTTTTTGTGTTTCTCTTTTTGTTTTTGGGGGGGAGCGGGCGTTTTTGGATTTGAAGGGCAACCAAAAGAAGGTCCTTTTTTTTGGGACCCCAATTTGACAACTTTGTTTAAGGGCCGGTTTGAAAGGGAAACTACAGGAACGCCCTTTTTGTGCGGAACATGGTCCCAATCGGAGTGATTCCAATTTGTTCTGCCTGACCGCTTCTGTGCGGGTCATTTGCGCAGAAAAAGAGATCGTTCCAGTGGAGGTCAGAAGGGTCATAGTCTGTTTTTTGTATTGCCCGAAGCTTATTGTTTTGAGTTTTGACCAAGCCGGTTTCCAGGTGTTGTTGATGTCCGTTTGCCCTTGAGACCTTTGGTTTAAGCTAAGGTTTTGAGTGGTCCTCAAGGCTTATATAATGTTGTACTCCTCTAGACCATTTGAGCAAGTGAGTTCAATCGTGTTCTTTGTAAGCAACCGGCTGTGGTAAGAACGGGCTAGTTCTATTCAGCTGCGGGCAGAGTGCTTCCCTGAACAGTGCAAGTAGGGAGCAACGAAGCCCGGTGATCATGAATGGTCTGATCTAATACGGGTTGTTTGAGCTATGGATGGATAATTCACATGTTTTTTTGTAAAGCCAATCGTCGAGGCATTCACGATTTTGATGGTGATTGTATTTCCTGTTGCCACAGACAATGTTGACCCTGGATGTAACAAAACCCGTCCAATTGGGCAGTCTTCCCTCGACACGCCCCGCTAAGACACCGACATGGATTGCCTGGACCCCGATGGACCCCATTCCCCAAAATGAATCCGACAAAAGAAAGAAAAACAACAACAAAACAGCAACAAAAGCAAATCGACCCTCCCAAAAAAGCTGGTACAAAAGGCATCAAACATGAGTTGATTCCTTGGTCAGGGTAGAGAACTTTGGCCAAACGCCGAAGCAACAAATCCCTCCGAGATGTTAACGTCTTAAGTGGACCTGGGGGGAGTTGAGTGAAGCTGTTGCTTCCACTTAAGGTCGCTCTCTTTCATTCCCAGCTGGCCTCCCAACAGCCGACAGCTGAAACCTGAAACCTGGCCTCCCTGGAGGGAAGTGGTCGAAAATGCCTCAGGGTCTCGTTCAGATGCCTCAGGGAGGAAGCCGACTGAGGAAAAGGATGTGATCCGACGACACCAGAAGGAGATGTCCAAGATGCAAAATACAGCTGATGACCCCTGTGGCTGCCTTCTTGACGCACTTGAAGCACACATATCTATGCATTGTACTTGTCTTGTCTGGTCTGGTCTGGTCTGTTTGTTTGGTTGGTTGGTTGGCTCAATGTACATACATATTTATATATATATATATATATAGTTGTACACGTAAATAGAGATAGACTAATTATATATATAAATATGCATTGATACACATACATATAATGTTTGGGTTTGACGCAGTCTGGAGCTTGACCCAACCAGCTATACTGCCGTGCTTCTTGGTTTCAGAGGGATGAATTCGAGAAAGCATGAAACGTGGTTGAACACGGGTTGAATTGGACGAACCGGCGATATTTTGTTGGAACAGGGGCCTCCAAGCTCACCAATGAGGCACAACGAGCGAACACTCATGATAAGGGTCCTTGGATCCAATTCTGATTTAGGGTGTGAGTTTTAGTCGGTCCTTTACTTGGATCCAATTCTTGTTTGGGTGTGTTTTGTTTTGATAGGCGACCCTTTGGTGGGCATCATTCGTCATTTAGGCGGGGATTCATCTTCATCAGCCACTGTTGAAGGGGATCCCTATCCAATTTCATGGCCATTTTAGGATTGAAGTTCTTGTGGGAGTTGCTGATTGCTTCATGTGCCTCACTCTCACGCTGCAGGTTTCTCTGACAGTTCAGTGAAATGTGTGTGTGTGTGTATGTTCTGAAACGGGATCCGTTCAGAAGGTTTTCATCTCCCCCCCCCGCTGCTCTCCCTCCCTCTCCCTCCCTCTTTGCATCCATCCAGTTTCAGACCTGGCCAGGCACCACAATAGCGGGGAGCCAGGTATTTGTTCACCTTTACTTCGGTTTTACAGACAGCCCCCTCACGGCGTCCGCCACTGACACCCATGGCGACTCCGCAAGTCAGACCTCCAGGAAAACATGGCGAAGCTTATGGAGTTGCAGCAGCAGATAGATGAGGAGGTGCCGAAGGGATTGAAACTCAGTTGAGATGCACTGGCCGTTTGGCGCTGTCAGCTAGGTGCAGTTGAAGTGACCTATAGAATGTGTATATGTATACGCATTCTATATAGACATAATATATGCATATACATTGCACGTGAGGGCGGCGATTTGGAATGCGTGCTCTGGTTGACGCAGAGTCATGAAGCCCCTTTTGTCCTTAGAACCCCCTTGGTGGCCCCTGAGACATTGGACTCTTAAAATAGGACCACCCAATCAGGGGGTGCATGTTTCATCCTTTCCTACTTAAAGGTTGTAAAGGGCTCCCTTGCCTCAAAGGGAACCACAATGGTTAGTTTCCTTTTGGTCTCCCGTTAAACCAAACCAAACAGGCTACCCTCAAAAAGAGACACCCCTCTTTGGAGACACACTCAAACCGCTATTCATCTTGCCGTTCTTAGGATCGCTCGTTCTTGAGCTTGGATCACGCAACAGTACAATTGTCTGAGGTGCATTTTTAAGCACGTGCAATCTCGAGGGAAAGTACATAGCCCTGGTTCAGGCCCCTTCACTTTCGTGTTTGATGAAATCTGGACAGAACTATATATTATATATTCAGAATATGTGTCATTGTCTACCCTAAAGATAGATTAATTTGGGAGGAGACCCCAGAAGACGACGTGGGCAAATCTCAGTCGCTCACTCGATGTGCTGCAAAAACCGCCTGGAACCCAGCAGGCAGCCAGAAATATCTTGTTTGGGTTGGATTTCGTTCTTCGGCCTGAGTTGCTCACAATACTCTTGGCAAGCTGGCTTGGACTATGGGTGAAGTCTTGGAACGCAGTTTGGTCCACTCACCGACTCTTCTGCCAGGCCCGCAAGCGTCGAGCGGTTGAACAACAACTGCTGGACTGGGAATCGACGCGCCCGGTCGGGGTTTGGGGGTCACCAGCCATTGTTGATGGCTTTCCAATGGAACGTGAACCCCACGGTGGACCCCAGGTAACATTTTCTTGAGGTTCTAGTGTATTTTGGGTGGATCCCTTGGCCGCATTTTCAGTGTTATTTTTACAGGTGAATGGATCTGGGCTGGAGCACGTGGACATACCAATGGGCCATCGGCACGGTGATCGCCAGGCTCCGCCAAAATTGTGCAAAACCTTTTTTTGGGGAGGCATGCGACGCCCATGTTGAACCGGGTAACCCTTACCTGGTGGTTTGGATTGGTGGTTCGGATTCCGACTTGAACAGGTCCCTGATTCTTGTAGAGGGTATATGAGAACCCCCTCCACCAAACCACCAAACCACCGGGCTCAAATGGAGGGAAGCCGAATGAAGGTTTCTTTCATAGGGATCCCGTATATTCGGGGGGTGAATTTTGTGTTTTTCCCCAAGGCCCCTAAGAAGCTGAACATATGCAGCAGGTCTGTTCTAACAATTAGTCTCCGTTGGAATGGGCTCTTTGTGGGGTCCATTGTTTGTTGGCCACCTCCACATGGTCAACCTCCGAAACGGCTAGACATTGTCGCTCAAGGACCTGCATGGCCTCCAAGAGAACTCGATCCTTGGCATCTCATGCTAGACAAGCTACATATATATATATATATCATAAGCCGCCGAATGCCAAAGTGGCATTGGGTCGGCTCAGCACGCCGCCAGAGTTTTTGCGTCGGCTGCAGGAGTTGCATGTTGGCCTGTCGCAAAAGGACAGCTAAAACAACATAATTTCTGCTGCTCCCCAGCAGTGCAGGAGTACAACTTATGCTAGGCTACTGGCTTTTCGAGTTCCTGGACTGTACGTTGCTTGGGATTGCGTTTTAGGTCATGGTTGTGAACCATAGTGTTGTTTTTGGTATTTTACCCTCCTTACTCAGGTACTCTCCCACAAAGTCATCAAGTCATCGTGATCAACCAACTTCAGCGGACAGTTGAGTTGAAGTGAACCCAAGGACCCATCCATGGTGCTTCGACCTTCTCAGGGAAACTGGAAACCCCAAAAACCCACGGCCCGTGGCCAAAGCCAAGGGGCGCCAATTCATTTGAAATCCGCTCTGGGAGGCCCTTCAATTGCTTGACGTTTGGTTCATGGCCGAGCAACGCAGCAAGGATGCAACCACCAGGGTGTTTTTCTTTTCAGGCTGCCCCTTGGGTTTTGTTTTTTGGGTTGCGCAACCAAAGGGAAGCCGGGGAAACCGCTGTTGGGGGGTCCCAATCCCGGTTTCGCAAACCCCGGTCAGCTTCCATTTGCTTAAGAATATATTTTATTTTCCCCTGTTGGTTTCAAAGGGAATCTTTCACTACTGGAAATATGTTTTTTTTCCAGGGGTCTGAACCAAATGGAAGTCAGGCGTTCCTCAGGGATTGCTTGCTCGCGCAGGAAGCCCGGGAGGAGCTGAAGCAGATCCCCCCACTGCAGGTGTCGAGTCCGGGATCGATCGCAGATCGGAACTTTTGGGAACACCCCCAACCGTGGAGTGGTGTTTTTTTTTGTTTGGTTGCCTCGGGGAGAGCGGAAAGCAGAGCTTTGCTTCTTTCTTCTTTTTTGGGGGTGGGGGGGTGGTTGGCTTTCAAGCAGCTGGCGTGGATGGATGGGCCTAGCCGTGTGGAGGAGGAAGATCCCACAACTGAGCACTTAGACTGTTGTTTGCGGTTCTTCAGACTCTCAGACAGTCGGCAAGGACTTGTGTTTGTGACCAGTTCTGTCTCACAGCCATCCATTTGGGAGTGTCAAAGCAGGAACCCTTCCCATCTCAATCGGTTTCCATTCAATGTCCAGTTGCATTAGTTAAATCCCGGACTCGCAAAAGGGTCGGCCTTTTCATGCCGAACCTTTTTTGCATCAAAGTTACTACCAGATGCCTTGGCCCTTCTTCGTTCGCACTCCGATGCTTTGGGCGAAATCTGAATGTGCCAATGAGCCAGGAAGCCTTGATGCAGTGCAAGCAGACTATGCTGAAGTGCCTCGGATCTAACAGATGCCGCTGGCTAATGTTGCTGGACGCGTCAAGAGGTACATGTCCTGCAACATCTGAAGGTTTAGACAGGGATTCAATGGTATATGCAGCCACTCGATCCATGAAACCAGGGAAAAAAATTGCCCCTAAAAGGTTCTGCTAGTAGTGTGGGAGTAGTGGATAAAACATTCAAGAGCACTGAATTCTTTGCTCAAGAGCTGAGAATGTGCCAAAATATGGGGACCCACCATTACAATTGCATGGTTTTCCTCTTGGTTTCCCTACCAATCAATCTGAAAAGAGTACCCTTCGAAAGACACCCACAGAAAGAGTTGAGCCATGGGTTTGTCAAGGTGAATCCCCAAAATGAGCTTCAGTTTTCCTTTTGGTTCTCCTTCTTCGACCTGAATAAAAAAAGGAATACAGGGCCTCACAGGAACGGCACCAACATTGGCTCCCTCCAGCGCGCAGACCTGAGGTACGTGGAGAAAGGTGTGGCGGCCAGCAGTTTGGGGAACATCCGCACGGTGTGCAGGGACATCCTCACCGAATGGCGCCGAGCTTCGGACGGCAGAAGAAAACACGGGGTCTTCTGTTGGTTTCGGAAGGCGGGGCGGGGGGGGGGGGGTTGCAGCAATCAATTGCATTTCCTGAGTTTCTCAAAGGAAGCCCAATATGAGCTCCCTAGAAGAATATTTTAGATGTGGTTCTTGTAGCGTGCTTCTGCGTAAGGAAACATGTGGCTCGCGTAAGCTCGCGTGAGGTTTGTTGTGAAAACTAGCTCCGCGTAATCTCGGCAGCTGCGTTTGTTGCTGAAGGGGCCATCTTAAAGCCGTGCTCTCGAAGACCGCTCTGCGGAAGCGCTTCGTAAGCAGCTTTTTGGTTAGTTTGAGGACGGTATGCCGCGTAAGCAAAACGTGTGGTTGCGTTAGACCCGCGGAAGCTTTCACGTAAGCCACGGCCAGTAGAGAAGCAAAAGCCAGCCGGTTTTGGGCACCACTCATATAATATGTGGCAAACAACATGTGTTGGCACACTGACACAGCGCATTCTGGCTCTGGCCGGTTCTTACACGCAGACAGATCAATGTTGTAGGATGCTCCTCGAAGAAATCGCTGCCAGAATGCCCTGATGCCCTGCCTTCACGAGAGAGAGAGAGAGAGAGAGCTATTGACTAATTGATCTAGCTTCGGCTTGCATGTGGATATCTAAGGACACGCTCAGGCAACTTGTCTCTGAATGGGTTGGACGGCTTGTTGTTCTGATCAGGCAGATTGGGCGGCTCGTGTTTTTGATTTGCATGGCTAATGGACCTGGAACTGCTTGGATTCCCCACCGACTTGGGGGAAGCTGAGTTCCGCATGTGCAGCGATCTCGAACATGGCATGCCAAGTGGCCCTTGTGTTGCCCAACTCAGAGAAGGAACTACATAATATATATACATATATATATATATACAGATATATGTATGTATGTATGTAATGTATGTATGTATGTATGTAATGTATGTATGTATGTATGTATGTGTATGTATGTATGTATGTATGTATGTATGTATGTATGTATGTATGTATGTATGTATGTATGTATGTATGTATGTATGTATGTATGTATGTATGTATGTATGTATATGTATGTATGTATGTATGTATGTATATGTATGTATGTATGTATGTATGTATGTATGTATGTATGTATGTATGTATGTATGTATGTATGTATGTATGTATGTATGTAATGTATGTAATGTAATGTATGTATGTATGTATGTAATGTATGTATGTATGTAATGTATGTATGTATGTATGTATGTATGTATGTATGTATGTATGTATGTATGTATGTATGTATGTATGTATGTATGTATGTTATGGTATGGTATGGTATGGTATGGTATGGTATGGTATGGTATGGTATGGTATGGTATGGTATGTATGTATGTATGTATGTATGTATGTATGTATGTAATATGTATGTATGTATGTATGTATGTATGTATGTATGTATGTATGTATGTAATGTATGTACTGTATGTAATGTAATGTAATGTAATGTAATGTAATGTATGTAATGTAATGTAATGTAATGTAATGTAATGTAATGTAATGTAATGTAATGTAATGTATGTAATGTAATGTAATGTAATGTAATGTAATGTAATGTAATGTAATGTAATGCAATGTAATGTAATGTAATGTAATGTAATGTAATGTAATGTAATGTAATGTAATGTAATGTAATGTATGTAATGTAATGTAATGTAATTATGTATGTAATGTAATGTAATGTAATGTAATGTAATGTAATGTAATGTAATGTAATGTAATGTAATGCAATGTAATGTAATGTAATGTAATGTAATGTAATGTAATGTAATGTAATGTAATGTAATGTAATGTAATGTAATGTAATGTAATGTAATGTAATGTATGTATGTATGTATGCATGTATGTATGTATGTATGTATGTATGTATGTATGTATGTATGTATGTATGTATGTATGTATGTATGTATGTATGTATGTATGTATGTATGTAATGTATGTATGTATGTATGTATGTATGTATGTATGTATGTATGTATGTATGTATGTATGTATGTATGTATGTATGTATGTATGTATGTATGTATGTATGTATGTATGTAATGTATGTATGTATGTATGTATGTATGTATGTATGTATGTATGTATGTATGTATGTATGTATGTATGTAATAATGTAATGTAATGTAATGTAATGTAATGTAATGTAATGTAATGTAATGTAATGTAATGTAATGTAATGTGTATGTATGTATGTATGTATGTATGTATGTATGTATGTATGTATGTAATGTAATGTAATGTAATGTAATGTAATGTAATGTAATGTAATGTAATGTAATGTAATGTAATGTAATGTAATGTAATGTATGTATGTATGTATGTAATGTATGTATGTATGTATGTATGTATGTATGTATGTATGTATGTATGTATGTATGTATGTATGTATGTATGTATGTATGTATGTATGTATGTATGTATGTATGTATGTATGTATGTATGTATGTATGTATGTATGTATGTATGTATGTATGTATGTATGTAATGTATGTATGTATGTATGTATGTATGTATGTATGTATGTATGTATGTATGTATGTATGTATGTATGTATGTATGTATGTATGTATGTATG